CCAGCCGCGGCAGGCCGACGGGAGGGGCACCGCCAGCCGCGGCAGGCCGACGGCGAGGGGTCGGTCAGCGGACGAGACGGCCCACCTGGCGGGCCCGGCTTTCAGCGCTGCATGCATCGGGCTGGATGCTGCCTTTGAGAGACGTGTTTAATTCGTGAACTATTGAATGTCAAGATAATTCTTATCTTGTGTTGTATTCCAAGGATAGGCGATGTCTTAAAGTGTTTTCTTCTTCAAAGTCATGTTAAACGCCTTTCTTATTTGTATTCGAAGAAGATAGTTTGCCAGTCCCAGGAAATGCAAAACAATGAATATCTTGTACATGCGATCGAACATAGATGTTATCTTACGATGCCAAGCCACTGCTTTATGATATGAAGTCCTGTCACAATCATGGATAATCATGGGTAATCACGGGTTAAATCCGTTCAGGAAGGGCTGCAATCCAGCATGCAAGTCTTCTGAATATGATTGTTTGCTTTTGTTTTAAATGGCATGAATATAGTACGCGAGGAAAAAACTAATGTCATCATCCCCAGCTGTCAAAAAACGAGGGAGATATTATGCGTAGATTTATCGACAGGAGACCCTCTCAGTCTGTTGATTCTCAGCAATATTATACGGCATACTTTTAACTGCAGTCTTAAACTACAATAGATGTCTGTTAGCTTGATTCGATCACTTGGTTGTTAAATGTTTATTGATTGGTCACCACATCTAAAAAAGTCTAGCTTTAGTTCATAAATTTCAAGATTTATTTGAAGAGGACATGTCTGCCGCAATATAATGAAATTTCCGGCTTAATTATTGAAATTCTTGGAGCTTGAGACTGCAATCGGCAACGTGTGAGATATTGCTAGATTCGAATATACGGCTTTCCCATAACTCGATAACCTCATGGTGTGAATTGCTACCACAATCAGAGGTAGGGAAAATCCCTTTAGGAAGAATTGTAATGCAATGTGCAATCCTAAATGATGTCACTTTCTGCACAAAGATTACAGTTGATCAATAGTTATGTTGGAGATGTTGATTTACATTATCAACGCAGTTCTGTTTGCATTTGTTTGTAAAGCCATGATGAAAACTTAAAAAGAAAGGCTGTTCTTCATTGATGCACGTCATGCATGATATCCAAAATAGCTGTAGTATCTGCCATCCCAAAGAAGAAAAGCATGAACTGCATCTGTCATTTTGAGACACGTTTCCTAACGCCACTTCCCTCCTCGACCCAAACCGCGATGAAATATGCCATGAATTACGTGATTTATGTAACGTTAATCACAAAAGCGCGATCGCCTTGTTTTGGGAAATGTTCCCGCATAGAACGGACTTTAAAACGTCTTAGTTTTAAAAACTCAAAAGCTAAACAATAATGCAGAAACAGAAAGAGTCGAATCGCCTTCACGTTAAGCGTGTGTAAAACAAAAAATCGTTTTTTTCTCATTTTTGGCTCGTTCTAAGACTTTAAAGAAATAGCGTTAAGAAAATGTTGAGTGTTACGACTGAGTTGCTGGTAAAAGAGGCAATATCAGTAAATCTGGAGCAGATGCGTGCTATTTATATTTTTCCACTTTTTACGTTCGGTGAGCCAAGACCTTTGACACGCGGTTGAGTAGTGTTAATGTGATCACTCCGAAGGTTTACCAGAATAACTTTCGAGTGGCGCGACGTAGCCGAGCCAAATTTTGTAAAGCTGTAGGCAACTGAATAGCCGATCTTTCCACATAACATGTATGTACCTTATAAGGTCGCTGACTAAGGCAGGTCAAAGTCGGGGCATGGTTGTCAGCGAAGGCAATGCCAAGGGAATCGTGCCATCTGTTGCGATAACGGGATGTTAGACAAAGTCATAGATATTTGGGATGGATTATTAATTACTCAGGCACTTTGATTTTTTATTGCGACTAATTACATTGACCTTTAGTTGGGTGTGGAGCTCAGACCAGGGTCAAAGTGAAATCGATTTTCAATGTCAATGCTAAACCGTAAAACCCAACCAAACCAAATACCACCACTGACCTTTTGCTTAGAAAATTATCATGGGTGCAGTTGGTTGTATGAGGTCTGAACGTACTTTGTGCACAGGAGTCTGACCGTGTTTGACCTCATTTGATCTGCAGGCCATGCATGGCCTAGGGCTATAGCCTAGGCCACAGAGATTGACTAAGCGAGTCCAAATGCAGATACACCTACCTCGTGTCTCTAGCTCTATTAGTTTCAGAGGTCTCAGCGGACTCAACTTGATCCCAACTTTAGCGTGTCGTATTAAACTGCCACCACCCTGGCGCGTGTCGTCGGTTGGGCGCGACAGTGTGGTCCGCCCCTAAAGTACGTGGCTGGCTATGAAACGACTTATGGTATGCGGTTTCCTTGAAACTGAATCATTGTCATTCAGAGCTAATCTGCGTTTGATGTTGATTTGACAGGCCGGAGCAGCGCTAGATTATTTACGAATGGTTGTAACTGCTTAAGTTACCGGGAGCGTTAGCGAAATGCACTGTTCAGACAGATTTAGCGAAACGCGCGGTGGGTAAAACTGGAACTCAGACCCTATGACCACCAAGCATGCGAACTTGCCGCATAACTTCCGTTCCTATATTTGGCAGGTTATCTGCTTGAAAGGAGGACGAGTTCGTGTACCCGCATGCCATGTTGCACACCGAATGCAAGACAATGCATGCATGTGACACGAGAATGCGATGGCGCGTGCTCGCAAGCCCGTCAACCTCCTCAAATTCTTGAAGCAAGCTCAGACCACATCATCCGTAATTTGTCATGCTACTCCCAGAGGCACACGTAATCTGGTTTTGTGTTTGCAGTATTAATAACCTGCGTGAGCGGTCTTCCATGGGGCGTGGGAAGGTCAGTCAAGTCTGAAGGTCAAACCATGGATGGCTGGAGCATTTTGAGGTCGTGCATTACCATGGGCTTAATACTACACCTGCATATGACGACAAAGGCCGGTTACCCCTGTCGATTCGTTCCTGCAGCTGTTGTTTCACGCAATGCAAACGCAGGAGCACATCAAAATATTTGGCACCCGAATACATCCCAATTAGGACGGTTGTTAGCATCCCTCAACAGTCGGAGGCTAAAAAGCGTATGTCGGACGTGTGCGGTGGGCCCTTGTTCCGTCTCTGGACGTGCTCAGTGACGCACAACTTACACCTGTGCGTTATATCGCTCGTCCATAAAAGTGAAATCAATGAATGACGATAATTTTGCGTGGTAGTTTGAAGCAGAGACTCGTCAAATTATCTTTTAAGCACATGGTTTTAAGCCGATGTCGCATCGGGTTGGTCCCGTTGAGTCAGTGGGGAGGAACGGCGGTTGCGACGGCGGACGCACGTGCCCCCTCCTGCGTCCCCGCCCCCGCCCCCGCCCGCCCCCCGCCCCGCCCGCCCCTGCCCCCGCCCGCCCCCCGCCCCGCCCCGCCCGCCAGACTGGCCCCCTCCGGTCACCAGTGACGGCATTCGTTGTGTGATTTTGCAACGGCGGCAGGGCCCACCGCCAAATGGTACCTTTGTTTTACGGCATTCGCGGGGGCTTATTGGCTTCCACCGGCGTCGGGTCCGCGGTCGTACAGCAGAGCCTCTCTGGTGGCCCGTTAATGGAAATTGAGCACGGCACAGACGGCGGCGGCGCTTTTTCTGGCACCGTTTGTGAAGAGGCGCGGTATTTGGAGTGCGCAGTAAGCGTCAGAGCTGCACATATTGCCCTCTTAATCTCAATTGATTGCGCCATTGGTGCGGAAAAGTTTCACAGGTTGAGTCTGTGGCGCCATCAACCGTATGCTCGCTCTTCTTATTCACCCAGTTTCCTCAGGCCTTGTTGAAAAGTCGTACCCGGCATGGCTTTTTTTTAAATTTCAGGAGCATTCAGAGGTGCGAACATGGCATAGACCTGCTTGCGATTGTTATACGTTTGTGTACCTACATCCTACCTATATCCTACCTACATCCTACCTACATACTGTCCATCCCGCCTTGTAGTACCTACATCCCACTGACATCCCGTCCATGTCACCCTGTAGTACCTACGGCTTAACTCCTTCCCGTCCGTCCCGTCCTGTAGTACCTACATCCAACCCTGTAGTGCCCGCATCCGACCCTTATCCCGTCCATCACATCCCGTAGTACTTGCATCCGACCTCTATCCCGTCCATCCCATCCCGCAGTACCTGCATCCGACCTACATCACGTCCATCCCGTCTCGTAGTACCTGCATCCCACCTACCTCCCGTCCATCCCGTCCCGTAGTACCTGCGTCCTACCTACATCCCGTCCATCCCGTCCCGTAGTACCTGCATCCGACCTCCATCCCGTCCATCTCATCCCGTATCTCGTCCCCACGTTATGAAGTGATTTTTTTTCGAACCTTGACTAGAATAACGCACCACAGCTGAAACTGTGCTCTCTTTAGTTGAAACTTGGCGAGTTCTTCTTCATATTGACTGCTATTATTGACAAGCTAGCGGCCATTTGTGACTGGTCCGGGCGGGCAGTCCAGCCAAGTAGCCACCCGTAGTGACGGCGGCACTGATGGGGCCCATCGGCAGAGTGGATGGGTGGGGGTGGCTCAGCCAAGCACCCACACCGTGATCATGATGCTGATAGCACTCTCTTTCCAATTACGGTATCAATGTATTGCGCTCATTGGGAGGGTGGACGTATTTCGTGGATAAAAGTTCGCCGATTAACCCGGCTAGCGTACTTCTCCTTCACAGCCTTCCTCCAAAGCTTTACCGTCTGAACTCCAGGCAGCTTCGAGGAACGGCCCTGGGAAAAACTGATACTGCGTTAGTCCGGCCTCTAGCACTTAAGTTCTTCAAAGTCATTTCCTCAGTAGCTAATGAATCACATCGTAAAATAGCCTTAGCGCCGATTTCGTCGGTCGTTTTGGGCCGCCGCTGGCCTTGTCTCCCACCGAGGCGGCGAGTTAGAGCGCCAATAACAGGTCTGGGCAGCGCTGACCTCAGGCGGCGGGCTGTGCCGCAGTGAACTGCACCGTGCTGCGTAAGGCCAACTGGACGGAGCAGGCGCTGCCGCGACTTCGGCAGCTCGAGGAGAACATCATCGGCGTGGTGACGTCGCAGCGCTCCAACGGACGCGTCGAGGTCGTCGAGTGGTCCTTCAGCTCCGCCCTGCTCTACTCCGTCACCGTCATAACCACCATCGGTAAGCAGTGAGGCAGCCGGCGCTGCAGCCCCTCAGCGAGCCTCGTCGTGTTCGTCGATGTGCACGAAGTCCTTTCGCTTCGCCGGATTGGTTCGCGGCACTTGTTGCTAGTGGTGCCGAGCTAGCAAACAGTGCTGCGCCAGCTGTGTGTTGACCAATCAGGCGCCATTTCGTTACACGACCCAGGAGCACAGGAGACTCAAGCGTGTCGGCCAAATGCCATTTTCTGATTGGTTGTTGTTTGTTTGCATCATCAGTATCATTATTATCATTGCGAACCTTGGCGAAGTCCAGCGAGTGGCTATTCCAAGGCCGCGTAGGTACATACTACATAGATAAACACAGAACACGCAACACATGCAAATGAGACGCAACGCCAGCGATACACATACGATGTTATAAAACATGAGCGACTTATGATACAATCAGCACCTGCACGGCATGGTCATTTGGTCAGTTTAGGTAAGTTCTCTAATGAAAGACATTGCTTTGCCCTTGAACTGCACTGGCGCGTGGCACCAGCGGGGGGGGGGGGGGGCGGGGCGATTCCACGCCGCTACGGCTCGATAAGAAAATGCTCTTTTCTTGCACTATGCGAGGGTGTTTTTTCGTCATCAGTGGCTCTGATGTGCCGCTGAGATACTTCAGATTGGCGCCTGATCAGATTACTGATAGCCTGTGGCCCATCAGGCACGTAAATTGCGCGATGCAAACATATGCGGTCGCGTTGGGTGACAGTCTCGTCGAAATTGGGCCAATTTAGCTGTTTTCAGAATTTCATGATGTGATCTCGTCTGTGTTTGCCGGCAACGCGGGGCTCATGTTTAATCATTAATGTCATAATGATTTAATCACTGTAGCGCTCATGTTTAACTCCACGAAGGGTGCGTTCACCCAAACTGCCTCGCTTGTTACGACCTCATGACTCGACCAGTGTGTGGCTTATGGTATTTCTTTCCTCTGTTTAAGTCTAAGGCGTAGTCATTTCATGATCAACAGACCTAGTGGCTATCACCTGGTGTTATCAGTTGTGGTGTGTTCAAGAAAAGAGGCATCGGAGTGTAACCTGCTGTGATTATTTTTCATCCAATCCGTACGCAGATTCCACATACATGTATCTTTAGCTCCTGCATACCAATGCTTTCACATTCTCCTCTGAGGTCCACACTCTCCGCATCTGTCCTTGCCAACGACGGCAACTTGCAGCGAAATTATCTCGAACGGTTTACAATAGTCCAAAAACAGCAGGATATCCTGAAGACGGTTTATGAGGACGTGAATCGATTTCAAGCAGCGCGACCGACTGTCTTCGCCATAAAACGCACTGATGTGCACTCGGTCAGACATCGCCATCTGCTTATTGGATCGGTCGCTTTGTCAGCGATGTTCCCAATGACACAAGTTCGGTCCTGGAAGTCACATTTGCATTACGGCTGCGTTGTTACGATGAAAATCTTGCAAACAGCTAAATAAATTCACCGAAAACAGGTTCTGCCTGCCGCGCAGATGCGGAGAATGCCACGTCATGCTGACTGCACATGAATAGTCTTTTTGATCCAGCCACAAAATTGGCGCAACGGAAACCACCATATTTTGATACGCACGTGCATGAAAATCGCATTGCATTCACCATCTGCCCTCCGACATATTATCAGGCACCTCGCAAAGCGCGTTATCAACTGCGACGTCGCAGCTAAACCTCAAGTCAGCGGTCGCGGCGGGGTCAATTCCAACCGTAATCTGTTGGGCTATCCTCCAGCGCGCAACTGCCGTCTTTGCGCCTGCATCATTATGAAGGGCTTTCATTTGCCCTATCTACGTGGCAGTTCCACACCGGCTGGGGCCCAAGCATAGTCGGATGTGTGCCAGAGTGCTACGTAGCGACGCTTGCGGCGGTGGGCGAAATCTGTCATATTCCGTGCCCGGCTTTTAATGACCTTTGCGCCGGAGAAATGACTGCAGCAGTCGAGCCCGAGTCACCTGTTAGGAGAGTTCACATGTCGGCTGGGTCAGCTGAGGGGCGCGGCACCAGTTGGTTTGTTCGACTGTTGGCCGGGCCACCTGTCGGGCGGAGCCAGGAGTCGGCCGGAGATCACTTGTCGGGCGGAGCCGGGAGTCGGCCGGGGATCACCTGTCGGGCGGGTTTGTTGTTGGCCGGGGTCACCTTTCAGCACGGGTCACCTGTCGGGCAAGGTCGCTGACCGGACGAGGTCAGCCGTCGGTCGGGGTCACCCGTTGATCGGGGTATCTGTTAGCAGAGGTCATCTGCCGGGCAGGGGCACTTATTGGCCGTGGTCAGCTGTTGTCTAGGGTCCTCTTTCGGCCCGAGTCACCTGTTAGCAAGGGGTCAGCTGTTGGTCTGGGTCACCTGCCAGTCGGTCACCTGTCAGCCGGGGTCACCTGTCAACAGGAGTCACCTGAAGACCGGGGTCACCTGTTGACCTGGGTCACCTGTTGACCGGGGTCACCCGTTGACGGGAACCACCTGTTGACCTGGGTCGCCTGTTGACCGGGGTCATCTGCTGACCTGGGACACCTGTTGACCTAGGTCACCTGCTGATCAGAGTCACCAGTTGACCGGGGTCACTTGCTGACCTGGGTCACCTGTCGGCCGGTATCCCGCAGCAATCATGGGTTTCCGCTGCCGTGGCAAAAGCTCACGATGTGACGCAAAGCCCCCCGTACGCCGCCCTGTGACCTAACAGCCGCGTGTGGACGACGCAGTACTGTCGCTAAACAGACGGCGACGGTGCTGCTGCTGCTGCCTCAGGCCGTGATGACCTGTCACGACCCGACTCCGTCTGGAGGCCGCTGGGGACGCGCCGGCGCTGCAGGCGCTGTAGGCTGCCAGTCAACCGTTATTAACCCAACGGGCCTTTCGCCTTGGTCGGGGCGTAATCGCGTCAGCCACGGGCTAGTTATGAAGCCGGTTTTTAAGTGGCGCGCCGGCCTGGCCCGTGCTGCAATGTGTTCGGGTGCGGGCAAAAACCGGCGACGACATCCTACTTCGGCCGAGCCGAGCGCCGCCATCCCGGAGCGGTCCCCATCCCGTCTGGGCTGCAGCTCCGACGGGTCACTCGCCGCCGCTGCTGATGGCGGCAGCTCCGACGGGTCACTGGCCGCCGCTGCTGGTAGCTGCAGCTCTGACGGGTCACTGGCCGCCGCTGCCGGTGACGGCAGCTCCGACGGGTCACTGGCCGCCGCTGCTGGTGACGGCAGCTCCGATGGGTCACTGGCCGCCGTTGCTGGTAGCAGCAGCTCCGACGGGTCACTGGCCGCCGCTGCCGGTGGCAGCAGCTCTGACGGATCACTGGCCACCGTTGCTGGTGGCAGCAGCTCTGACGGGTCACTGGGCCTCCGCTACTGGTGGCAGCAGCTCCGACAGGTCACTGGCCGCCGCTGCTGGTAGCTGCAGCTCTGGCGGTTCACTGGGCCGCCGCTGCTGGCGACGGCAGCTCCGACGGGTCACTGGCCGCCGTTGCCGGTGACGGCAGCTCCGACGGGTCACTGGCCGCCGCTGCTGGTGGCAGCAGCTCCGACGGGTCACTGGCCGCCGCTGCTGGTGGCGGCAGCTCCGACGGTTCACTGGGCCGCCGCTGCTGGTGGCGGCAGCTCTGACGGGTCACTGGGCCGCCGCTGCTGGTAGCATCAGCTCCGACGGGTCACTGGCCGCCGCTGCTGGTGGCAGCAGCTCTGACGTGTCACTGGCCGCCGTTGCTGGGCGCTGTCCTCGGATCTGCGGTGCTAAGTCTGTGGATTTGAACCTTCAGCTGTGGAGACGCGGGGAAGGCTTCACGGCGTTGGATCGATACAGTCTGGGACACGGCTGAGGAGTAGGGATCATGGATCATGGATCAGTTGATTTTGGGATTTTGTTAAACGTGATGGTGTAGGAAAGTCATGATTGTGTCGCCAGCTATTAATCTCTCTGTTCGTCACGTCTGTGCTCGTTTTACTGGAGATCTCTTTCGAAATAAGGCAGCAGTGCCCCCGTCGAAGATGACCAGTGGTGCATGTCTCATCCGATTGTTTCCTCTTCCCCGAGCCCGTGCAACACTCGACACGTGATTTCACGCACTGTTTGACGCATTCGGGGAGGGAGAGGGACGGACGCTTGTGAACGCACGAGTGCGCGTGTGTGTACAGTTATGAACGGCGCCCTGTTCTCATCAGGAGCGCGCGCCGCTGTTTACCAGCCGTGAGCAGAATTATCGCCTGACCTTTACCTATTTGTGCCAGATCAAACAGACACAGATTAATTTCGGCTTCATTTGTTCTTGACGGGTGCCGCAACACGACAAATGTGTGTAAATATTGGCGCATGCTATTTGCGCTGTCCCCCGGGTCGCGTTTCGGCGGCGCATTACGGGCGCGATGACAGGCCTCCGGTTGGCTGGCAGCGGCTCTAGCACCGGGCCGCTCCTCTACCGCCTCTGACGTCATCAGATGACGTCACTCGCGCCCCACGCTCACCCCGTCTGCACTTGGCAGCTGCGCTGCTCAAGCGCTACTTGGGTCAAGAAGAAGCGTTGTCACGGCAGTGTGACAGGGCATAATTCTGTTTAAAAGCTGGGCCTCGGCTGGGAAGTGCGGGTGTTTCTGCGAAGTGGACTACGGTGATATGTGATGCCGAGCAGTTGCATGCGATCTGACGTCTTTGATTTTTTGTAGAACAGTGACGCGTTTTGGTTGCTGACGTTATGCCGTTGAGGACGAGTGGTCTGAAGCTGGTTTTTCCCGCGCTTTTTTATAGTTTGTGCGTTGGCACGGCGCAAAATGACGAAAACACACATTAACACGCGCCTGGGTGGCCGGCTGGATACCCTTTGCTCGGATGGGGTGCGGGGGGAATCAAATTAACCCCACTGAGATCTCAGGATCTAAAAAAAGGTAGAGACACCAAATTTACAGGGTGTGCTGACCTGTACGTGAAATTAATTAAGTCAAAGTTTTAGGTTCCTAGGTCATGGACCTTCGGATCAAATAAGGTCGAACAAGGT